GGCACTCGGCAGACGATATGAATGAAAGCTCGCGCAACGCGGCGCGGCAGTCTGGCCGCTTTTCTATCCTGCCAACTTGCCGGGGAATCGTCACAATTCGCTCGTCCCGGGTCCCCGTTCCGAGGGAAAAGGGGAGGCTCCACCCGGCAAACGTGGCTTTTTCTCACGCCGGCCGGGCACTTAACCCCTCAATACTGCCCCGTTGAATAGGGCGCAAACCTTTTAAAAATTTCTCGTGCTAAATTATTACCGACCCTCGTGTTGCCGCGATATTGGAACGGTGCTGCCGTGACCCGAGTAGCGGTGATCGCGATAAACAGCGATTTTATCGGTTGGCCCCAAGTAGCATTTCTCAATGGAAAAATCGCTATATATTGCGATTTTATCGGCGATAAAATCGCCAGGATCATCAACATCTGAGCGATTATTCTCGATCTCATCGCGGTAAAATCGCGCTTTTATATCGCCCCACAATTTATCGCGATATTTTCGAAATAAAAATCGCGATAAATGGCGATTTAATCTCAATTTTATCGGCAAAAATTAATCACGATTTAATCGAACCAAAAATTGCGATTAATAGTGATTTAATCGCCAAATATCGCGATTTTTGATGCATGTTATGGTACAGTACATTTAAATAAAAGTATCAAACAGCAGCAACAAAATGCATGCATAAATAAATGAATAAAAAAAAAAAAAAAAACTTTGAACGTTTTCTTTCAAAAGTTTGATGGAAAACAACTGAAGTACAATTGAACAAGTCTGTGCAAGAGGACGAATTCAAACTGAAAAGGATCATGGATCATATATGCATTACATGTTGCAATCAGGAACCATTATTTCTGGCCCATTTTGGAAGCAACATTCATGCCATCGGTTTCCCTATGCAGATATGTGATTTTACGGGATATATGATTTTACAGAGACAGTGGTTCCTCAATGCAAAATGCTCCATATCGACGGTGAAACTACCAAACCACGCATCTCGGTTTGCGACGTCGCAGACTTCCTGTCATACATTATTTTTTAAATGAAAAACTACTTAACGTCTAGTCTTGAAAATTTCTGTGATTTTTCTTCTTTGGGCGGAGAAAATTCTGTGAAAATTTCAAGGAATGATATTGATTTGGTCGACTTCAAAAAAATAAAATGCGAGCGTAGATTTTTAAACACCGCAAACGAGATACGTGGTTTGGTAGTTTCACCGTCGATATGCAATGTTACTTAATGTTGATGACTGTCAATAATGTTCATTTGTATCATAATAATGGGACCTTTGACACTAAAGCCGCACAATGGTCGAAACGCCACGATTACTAGGAGTTATTTTCTAACCAATAATTAGTGTCATTCCACATAAGCGATTGATGTGACAATAAAGCTGTACGGAATTCCTTGATTTGTGACTATTTGGAAACCACAGAGATATACAGCCCCGTGGTGTACTTGAGAGGGAAGGAACTAAAAAGTGGCTATTCTTTTGCTCATTTCGTTGCCCGTACCTTTTAATGCTTTCGCGGCCCGCTCTGGGCTGAAGATTAGGAGATGGTCTCAATTTAAATCACATTCTACTTCGAGTGCTTATTGAAATTATCTGCAAATAAATCTCAGACAAAATACTTCTCATAAATCCCCAGTTCTACAAATAGAATTCAATCGCCACTTGCTCTTTCAACAATTCAACACGAAAGTTCAACATCAAAATTCTACGATAGTTGTTTCGGTAGATTTAAGAGACCTTGCGGAAAAGAACTGTCCGGTTCAGCTATTTTTCAACCTCTTGGAGAAAATTGGAAGTTGAAAATTCTCGGTTCTGACGTGCAAAAGTAGCACAGATTGCAAAAAATTGTAATTGAATGGTAACATCATCGCTTCTGCATCGGAGTATTGTTCAAGTTGCCTATCTACTGATTGAAGGAACCCGTTTTATTGAAATTTATTGCAATAAAACTAAAATAAATCCATTGTACTGCGAATTGCCAATTTTTCTTACACCTGGAACCAGGGCCGGATTAAGGGGGGGGGGCCACATGGGCCGCGGCCCATGGCGGCAAATCTAGAGGGCGGTAAATTTTGCAATTTTTTTAAATAAAGGTATACAAATATATCGGATTTACAAAAAAAAAAAAAAAAAAAATTACAAACGAGAAAAGGCGACAAAATCTTTCATTTCCTGAGAGTATGGTAATTTTTAATTTTGTCGCCTTTTAGTGATACAAGAGACAGCACCTTTGAGTAGTCGAGTTAAGAGATAAACCGAACACGCAATTTGGCCTGGAACGGTGCGGCGCGGAGAGCAATGATGACGAGGACTTGAGATGAAAAGGAGAAGCCCTCGGCGCGGCGATCGGCATGTAACACATATTATAGCGCCTACAAGACTGCACGGATACTTCACGCATTGCATCAAACACAGTGCGGTCATTGCGGTCAGCGTGAAATGGATAGCGCCTACAAGAATGCATGAATACTTCACGCATTTGCGCCAAATACGGTGCTGTCTGCGCGGCGCGGCGGCGGAAGTTAAAATCATTGATCCACAATCCACATTTATGTTTGTTCTTTATAATTTTTTTGTTAATTTCTTATGAATGAAAGGCCTTGTTCACACAGAGATAGGTTTACGAAACTTAAATTTTGCTAGTAGTGTGGACAGGGCATTCCCAAACATGTGTTCAACACGAGTAAACTCGTCTTATATACGCAACCCTCCGCCCCCCGGCACGTTCCCTTGATTGTTTTTATTGATGTTTCAATACGAATGAGAAGGAGGCGGAAAAATACAGGCGGCCCATCGGCGGCAAGTAGCTAAACCGGCCCTGCCTGGAACTCATATTTTGATCCCTTTTTTTTCTAGGTAAGGAATGTTCTTATAAAAATAGGCAATCATTTTGGAGGGTTTTCGGATTAATGGAAACTCGAGGGTTAAGTATACGACGACGGCCAGACGAAGAAATATCATAATAGACGGATCCTATGTGCAGATTTTTGTCTCGGTTGCTGAATAAATTTCTCAAAGTCTGCGTTCTAAGGATCTGTTTTGAAGTGCATTTCAAACCGTGAAGGTTTTTCACGGAATAGACTTACTGCGTGCATGCCACTTTCTCCTTTTGAAGGGGAAACTTCATAGAAAAAGGAGCGGAAAGGTTAAAAGAAACATGATATTTTTCAAGGGCATACATCGCTTACGAATGATGAGGGCATTTTACGTGTTGCTAAATATTATATACAGGGTGTCCCAGACCGCCCGTACCATGCTTTTTTAGGTTGTTTTAGTTCGTGCGAAGTCCAAGATCGCGAGGTTGACGTGGGAATCTATACCAAGGAATCCGGATTTCAAAGTCAGTCCCCCTTTTTGGGGAGGAAAGGGGGAGTCCCGGTCCTGAAAGTCGGGACTCCTGACCGAATTTTGATTCAAGTGCATCAGAATTGAAAAGTACGGACAATTTTCCCCTAATCTGACTCATAAAAATCCTAAATCGGAGTGTTGGCAACGAGTGATAACGATCAAAATTTGGCAACAGCCCACTCCTCCTAAAAGGATCCGTCAGTTCTCCGAGTCTTTGCATGAGACCCAAAGTTAATACCCACTTTTTCAGTAAAGCTACTTTAGGTCCAGTACGCACAGGCCAACAGGACATGCGGCACTAAGAAAAGAGGAATCATTGAAAACTCTACAGGAAACCGATTGAAATTTCAAGATATCCATGCCGACAACTATGAAACGTACGAAGATGTCTTAATTCCACTGCCAGATGGGTTTGGAAAATAGACTATTTATCGAAGAGTTTTGCGATTGGTCACTGGAATTATGACCCAATCTGACTACAGCGGGCACTTAACCAACTGGCGGACGCGACGAAACATAACTTTTCAACGCACGCACACAAAACACTTCATTTTTATTTTTACCACCTCTAATCTGTATGCATCACTCAGAAAACGATGGGGGCTCGAGGCCTCCCCTTTCCGTATGGAGAATGATTCCATTAAAAGGATCTGCCTCTACTTCCTCCACGCCCGACTTAAAGTGATCCCGGCATGGCTCAATATTCCCACCTAAGAAACTCGCTTCATGCATAATTGGGAATTTTCCCGACGGAGAATGAGGACAGTTTTTGAAATTTGTTTCTGCGGATCAGCAGTTGATGTGGATTAATTACGATCTGATAGAGTTCGATCGGTGTTTCCAGTTTACTGGAAGTGACCATCAGCTCAAAGTAACACTTTTTTCCTCTGACAACTACAGCACCCCATGGTTCAAAAAAAAAGAAAGAAACAAAGTCTTTTTTCGAATTCTGCATGAGAACAATTTTAGGTTAATTGCCATGAAAACGTGCGGTCACAATTAATATTTTAGATCAAATTTACAGGTCAAAAATACTATTGGCTCAATTTCTCAGAGAAGGGGGGAGGGGCACGTATGTCGCAGCCAATGGCAGGACTTTTTTTGGCGGTAAATTACGGAAACACAACAGCATGCTGGATGGATGCTTTCAAAAGCAAATTCCTTTTTTTAGGTTGGAACTTCTCCGCACGCATACAAAATACTTCAATTTTATTTTCAAAGTATCTACCGAATCTCTGGGTCTGCTCTAGGATTTTCATGAGACCCAAAGTTAATGCATTTTCTGTAGTTACTTTAACCTTGGTGCCTAGGCCAACGGAGTTAGAAAAGAGGAATCATCGAAAACCCCACAGGACACTTACGGGATTCTACGAGATCCAAGAGCGGCAAATTGATGTCGACCTTGAGTGCGGCAAAATCGTGAATCTAGCCTCACAGTCTTGTTTCTTTACCATGGTCTAAACTAGGATCAAATGGACACTCTTCGAACGAGGAAAAGTACGCGCAACTTATCAACGAGCAAAACAGTTTTCCTGCACTGGATATAATGGATTGAGATAACACTAACTTCTCTTCCCAGTGCTAAGCTCGCAGTATTCCGGTTTTCGCGATTTTATACTTTTTTTTTTTTTTTTTTTTTTTTTTTTTTTTTTTATTTTGATAGCTAGAAGATGAGTACACTTGTTAGAGAATCGTTCAACAAGTATCCGTAAATTACGTACCGCACTTTTTCGGCATTTCCGACTCCCACCCCCTTTCAACACCTCGTAACGCAGCCTTGCAAGGACTTTCCAAACTCAGCATGATCCGTTCTTTACTCCTAGCATTATTGTTTTTCGCATGTGTTTTACGAAATGTTCGAAAGAAAAACTTCTCTGATTCAGCTTGTCATGCACTTCGTTGTTATTTCAAGTGAAAACATTGACGCACGCTTGTGTACACTTCGCATTCAAATGCTCATTTTACTCACATTGACATTCGATCGTTGTGCAGCGTAAATTGACGGATTCTGCTGAGTCAGTTGGATATGAGGTATTCTTGCAAAGGAGACACTAAAAAACACGCAGCTATTCAGTCTCTGAGATGAAAATCTACTTTTCAGTTCGTGTGAATGTTTCTAAATTTTGTACGAACTTCTAGTCGGGACTCCACCAAAGTAACATATTACAATAATATTGCGAGAAAATTCTGATATTATTGTGTCAATATAATTTTCCCATAATGAAAGGTGCTCTTTCTTATTTTAAAAAAAATCCTGTATGAAGTAGATATATTAATTAGTATCTGGCTGGTCAAGAATTGTGATGAAACCGCAAAACCTTTACTTGGATTTCTGTGTTTAGATTACGAAGCACTATTTCTTCGCGTCATTAGAAAGGAGAATATTCAGGTATTTTGAGTAATTTTGTGTTTTTTCTTCTTTTCCGGCCAAAATTTTCAGACACTGAAACCAAAATGAGATAAAACAAGTTTCTGATGCTTTATCTAAGAAAAATTACCGAAAAAAAGTGATCTCGAATCGCAAGATTTCCAAAATTATTAGGCCCTAAAATATGTATTTCAATTCCTGATATAAAAAGTGTAAAATATAATAAAAAGATTGTGTTAAACATTAGACAAATTGGAAAAATTGCGAAAAATTGTAGTCATATTACAAATTACAATATTATCGGAAAGTGCAAACATTTCAGTCACAAAATGCTACTTGAGTAGGGTGGTGATGCCGAATTTTCAATTGAAAAATACCATTTATGCTGCATATTCCAACAGAAAAGGTCGCCTCGTGAGAATTCAATAAACGAATTATGCGAAATAAGCAGTGGCGTGGCGTGCTTTGCGATTTATCGATTTATCTGTCATTTAAACCTATGGAAATGGATCGATAAAAAGGGTGTTCGCAACGAACGCTTTAGTAATCGATTCTGTACCATAGTTTCAAATGGGAAAATATCAATAATCGATCATTCATGCCTCGCCACTGGAAGTAAGTACCCAAAAGCAACCGCATAATAGCGATCAAACTTTAATCCTATTAGGTAAGCTCACGCGAGGAATTTAAAATCGCCTTTCTCGGAACTCGATAAAACGCCACAATTTACCAATGTAAAATAATAGGACTTTAAATTTTACCGGTAACTTTCTACCGTGCAGTCGGTTTTCCGAACAATTTGAGCCGCCGAGAAAATTCGGCTGGTACCCGCACTGCCGTGCTGAGGAAGAACGTCGTATATGAACATTCGAGAGTTTCCAAATTTCCCCAAATAAAACATGTATTTTAGAAGAGCGTTTAGTATTTTTGTCTTTGAAATGTGAAGATATTTTAGACTAAATTGCGAACAAGATTCTCTGAAAAATATCAACAAATTTCGCGGTAAATTTGTCTTTTAATTGAAGGAAATATGGATGATGACCCATTGATCTTCTTTTCAAGAGAAATGTCAAGAAGTTCTCCTTCGCTAAACAATGCATGCATTTTTCTAAATTAGATTTTGAAGCTGATTCTGTGTTATTTTCTAAATTAAAAAACATCATGGGTGGACAAAGTTAGACCCATAGACGAGATATCCTTTTCATCGCAGATTTTTCGAGACACTTAGGAGACACATGCAAGAGTTCGTTCGATACAGGCAGAGTAAGTGGACGTACCTACCTAATTATGAGAAATTTAATAAAGTCAAAAAGAACTGAGTGCATGAAGTTTGCAAGCTACATAGCTCATTTTGATTTCATTGATTTTCACATTTTTTAGCATAAATCATAGGTAAACATGTCCACTTCAAACATTGACTCAACTTGTTTTGTTTGTTTGTTCGTTTGCAAGGGCGCACGGAGGGAGGGGGAGGGTGGTCCGGGGGCTCCATCGGAAATTTTTTGAAATTTTAAATCTATGGACGCATTTTGAGGTTTTTGTGACGCAGATTTTCCATCCATTTCTGCGGAAAAATTACGTTAATTTTTTTTTACTTTCAGCGAAGAATACTTCCGAAGCGTCGCATTCGACAGATCCGGAAAATTTGGTGAGATTTTAAATCTATTTGGACGCCGGCTTCCATGATGAAAATTTTCGAATGTACTTACCAACCAAATGAACACGGTGTTTTCATTTAAGACTCTGAGTACATTAAAAGAGATATTTATCCTCGACGAGGGTTTTTTTCCCACCATCCAGAATTTCTGGAGGGGGGGGGGGGAGCTGATACTTCTTTTCAATTCTGGGGGGGGGGGGGGCAAGCCCCCCTGGACTCCCCTCCCCTTCGTACGCTCATGCAAACGAACAAGCAAACAAGCAAAACAAGTTGAGTCCTATCTTGGTGACAAGCTCCGAAGCCGCGACCGCCCGCTCTTGTGATAACAAGGAATAAAATTGAAGGTAAACAAAAGCCGGAAAACGGAGACCACGTTCGGACGCAGGTAGGTATCGCGGAGTACGAAATCTTAAAATCAATCGCGAAGCCTCTTGAAATACGACGTGCGAAACGAATTTCATGAAGAACCGCGCGGTGAGTATCCGATTCCCTCACCGAATTTCCACTGTATCGTCACTTTTGGTACAGGAACATAGCTATAAGAGGGGGTATTAAACAATTCCGTAGTGCAAAACGTAGGTACTCGAGTAGAAAAATTACAATATCAAAACGAGAATATTCCTCTCCTATCAGAATGATCGCGTATTCGACACTATGAATACTGGACAACTGGCTGCATTTCCCGGTAAATTCGATTCCCTCACCGAATTTCCACTGTATCGTCTTTTTTGGTACAGTTACATAGCTATGAGAGTGGGTATTAAACAATCCCATCGTGCAAAACATAGGTACTCGAGTAGTAAAATTACAATATCAAAACGAGAATATCCCCCTCATATCAGGATTATCGCCTTTTCGACGCTACGAATACTGGAAAACTGGCTGCATTTCCCGACGGCGCGGGGCGACCGCCTTCCATTAACGGGCACCGAGACTCCGAAGTAAACAAAACAAAAGCGGGAATGATCGGAGGGCAAATCGGCGAATTATAATCCAGGAATGGCCTAAAAAGGGGTTTAAAGTGTTAGTCTGAAGGTAAGAAATGGGACTTACGCTTGTATACTTTTCGAGAGAGGCCACCTTTCCATTGTAGACTGGTACCTCATGTTGTGGATCTGCTTCGTGAGCGCGTCCTTATCCATAGCGTTGAGAATACTGGGATCCATAGCGTGGCGTTCGGGTCCGCGTTCGGTTCGACGAAGCTCTCGGCACCCCTCCGCTGCAACACGCGTGCGCCTCGCTCGCCACGCACCGGGCCCGGCACCGCCGAAACCTGGACAAACAACCGCAACACTTGATCACACGCTGTCGCCAAATTATAACGGGAAATCCAATATCAAACCGCGAATAGACGCTATTAGTGGCGACGTCATCATAGGGATTCTCCATTATATCGAATTGGATCCAAACAATAACATTGGCATAACCTCTTTCGATGCTACCAGTGCGAAAAAATCGATATATCGACGGTGAAACTACCAAACCACGTATCTCGGTTTGCGACGTCGCAGACTTCCTGTCATACTTTATTTTTTAAATGAGAAACTACTTAACATCCAGCCTTGAAAATTTCTGTGATTTTTCCTCTTTGTGCGGAGAAAATTCCGTGAAAATTTCAAGGAATGATATTGATTTGGTCTACTTCAAAAAAATAAAATGTGAGCGTAGATTTTTAAACAC